TCCTCATCAATAGGATGATAAGTCCACAAAGTTGCTCCAATCGCAACACAAATCCTGTCACGTTAACACTAAACCTCTGACAAAACCCACTTATCAATCCTCATCAATAGGATGATAAGTCCACAAAGTTGCTCCAATCGCAACACAAATCCTGTCACGTTAACACTAAACCTCTGACAACCCACTTATCAATCCTCATCAATAGGATGATAAGTCCACAAAGTTGCTCCAATCGCAACACAAATCCTGTCACGTTAACACTAAACCTCTGACAAAACCCACTTATCAATCATCATCAATAGGATGATAAGTCCACAAAGTTGCTCCAATCGCAACACAAATCCTGTCACGTTAACACTAAACCTCTGACAACCCACTTATCAATCCTCATCAATAGGATGATAAGTCCACAAAGTTGCTCCAATCGCAACACAAATCCTGTCACGTTAACACGGTAGTCGGTAAAGGCTTATCAAATCCGTTGATGGCTGAGGGTTTGCCAAAAATCCTATGCACGTTTGCAGGCCCATTAGCTTAATGGATGTGAGCCGAGACTTAAAACAAATGAGCTAAAGACAAGTCTCAAAGACTTAGTTAAAAATGCACGGAAGCCACTTCCATGTCTTAAGTCAAAACGTTGAGGTCAGACCCGCGATGCAAAAACCGAACGCCGAGGTCACACCCGTGTTCCAAATTCAACATGCAAGGGTGAGACTCGCATCTCAAGTTCAAAATGCAGGGTCCACCCCCACAGTCCAGAAGCAGGATTATGGCGCATACCTTCACACAGGTCCTACGTGGCAAATCCCTTCAACCAAGATGCCTTCGAAGCAAGTGCAGAGAACAAATCCTTTACCACAAGGAATCAACAGCTCCAAGATCAGAGTTGAGATCCAAAGTATTCCGAAAATTCATCCCAGTCAACCGCGAACTTTCGAAAACTTTGGAGGGGGTTCTGTAGGCTGTCAAAAAAATCACAATAGATAGCTGATCCCCATCAAACACCGATGATGGAAGTTACAATCTGACGACTTCCAGAAGGCTACAATTTGAGGACTTTCACGTAGAAGGTTACAATCTGACGACCTTCACAACAACTAATGAAAGCCCCAATTCAACAGCCTTCACAATCAACATCGGGAGTTACAATCTGACAACTCTCATATTCTCAAGGAGCCAAGACGAGCAACAACTGATGAAAGCTCTAATCAACAGCCTTCACAATCAACATCGGGAGTTATAAAGATTACAAAATGATGATCTTTGCAATGCTTTGACAGAAAGAGACTACAAATCGACGGTCTCTTCAAATCAAGCTGCGGAAGTCCTCCCCGCACACCAGCATCAAGACGCATCGCGTTCATAGCCACGAACGCAGCTCAACGCAGCTCATACCGCAGCTCCAACCGCTGCTCAACGTAGCTCCAACCGCTGCTCAACGCAGCTCCAAGCGCTGCCCAACGCAGCTCTATACCGCTGCCCAACGCATTCCAAGCGCTGCCCAACGCACCCAACGCAGCTCTATACCGCTACCCACAAATCTCTATACCGCTGCCCAACGCAGCTCTATACCGTTGCTCAACGCAGCTCCAACCGCTGCCCAACGCAGCTCCAAGCGCTGCCAGACGCAACTCTATACCGCTACCAAACGCAGCTTCACTCGCTGCCAGACGCAACTCTATACCGCTACCCAACGCAGCTTCACTTGTTGCCAGACGCAACTCTAACCGCCGCCAGACGCAACTCGCAAACACTGCGTTCAAACGCAGATTTCATTCCAGAATACAGGATTTGCGTTTGACTCGTTCAAACACGAGCTAAACGGTTTCAAAATCGTTTCCCACGATCTGAGGGGATCACAACTCCACTCAGGAGTGATTTAAGGGGCGGTTACATTCCATTAGCCCCACTTAGGAGCGAATTAAGGAGGTGGTTACACCCCTTAATCCTCTATAAATAACTGAAAATCAATTCAGTTCAGGGGTTCGGTCTGTTAGAACTTCTTGGCAGCAACAGAAAAGATCCTCGAGGCGGAATCTTTGGGGTTTCGGTTCTGATCCTTCGGCTGGGACTTGGCAGCGAAAAGAGGATCCTTCATCCTTCGGTTGGAGCTTTGGAGATCGACAACAAGATCTTCTTTATTCTTGGCTTATAACCGACTTTTGGTTAAATCAACTCTTTCATAGAGTTTTAAACTCGTTCAGAGTTCTCCACAACGTCAAATCGTGAGGAGAAGACCACGTTCCAGTGAAACAAGACATCAGATCGTCAACGGAGAGCAAGTTCGACGCAAGCATTCGAAGGAGGCACTCCATCGCTACCGTGAAGAACCCAGTTTTAAACAAAGGGGAGGATTCAGATCAATCCTCTTCTCTTTTGTAATCAGGGAATCCAAATTGTAATCGATTTTGAGAGAATACAAGTCAATTTTCTTTCATTGTCTTTTTACTGTAAATTTTTTACCAAACAGAGTTTTTTACTATGAGTAGAATACCAAACTATTACAAGTTCTCTCTCAACTCACTCTCTCTTTTCTTTCAAACTTCACTTAAACCCACATAAGATTTTCCCCACCATTTTATCTCTTCTCACTACCTCTCCTATTTATAGAAGAAGTGGAGGTGGGTGTGGAACCGGCTAGAGATAGAGGTATGGGAGAGGCAAGAGGTATGGGAGAGGCATAGGGGCATGGGGGACACTCACTGTCCTGTGTCCCCCCTCACGTTCACAGCTGACCCACCTTCATAGGCTGTGTACGGCGCAGAGGATGGTGGATTTGATCCTCGCGAGAAGTTATTTTCAGGGAACTTTTTTTATAGTCTATATATTTCGCTTTTCCAATTTGCAGTTTCTCCTTATGTGGGTGTCTTTTTCGACATGTTTAAGCTATGCGCACTACCTACTTAGCTATTGAAGCTTTCTTCACACTACCTACTTAGCTATTGAAGCTTTCTTCACGCAACTTGTCAGCAAAAGCATGAACTTCTTCCAAGCTCCGTAGACAAGTGATAACAAGCGTACGCAAGAAACAACCGACGTGTACGGCGGTTTGTAGCTTGAAAATAGTTAAATTTCAGCCTTTAGGAAGCATAGGTTTACACTAGCACAAAAGTGAAAAAAAAAAGGGGCAAAACAACTGAAATTTCCCCAGTGTTCCAATGGTCAGATGTTGGCCGTCCTATGCGAATGCTCCCTAATCTCCTCGATCATACGATTCATTTCCAAGTAGGATGACCCGCTGCTCTCCTCCATCGCTGCCCTGGCCTTCACCGCGTACTTCCTCGCCCTCATTCTTCTCTCCTCCGCTTCCTCCCCCTCTCCCATCACGTTCTTCACTGCCTTCGCTATCTCCTTCGCCTTCACCACCTTCTTCCCTTCTCTCTCGATGCTCACTCCGATGTCCAGCACCTGAGCTACCAGCTTCTCATTTACAAACTGCTCATAATCTACAGGCCACGTCACCATCGGCACACCGGCACTTATACTCTCCAGTGTCGAATTCCATCCGCAGTGGGTCAAGAACCCTCCTACTGCTCTATGGTTCAAGATCGCAATCTGTGGTGCCCATCCTCTTATCACCACTCCCTTCCCCTTCACCCTCTCCTCAAAATCCTCAGGCAACCACTCTGCTTCGTTCTGTCTATTGATATCCCTCACAGCCCAGACAAATAATTGGCCCGAGGCCTCGAGCCCCAGCGCAATTTCTCGCAGCTGATCAGCTGAGAATTCATTCAGGCTACCAAAACAAGCATACACAGCTGAATTCTCCTCCTCCTTATCCAACCACGTAATGAGTCCTTCAAGCTCTGGATTGAACTTCTTCCCTCTATCTGCCTTCTCTGCTTCATCTTTGGTCGACAGCGATAGCGGGCCCACGTAGTATGCCCTCCGTCCATTCTTCCGATAGAGCTCTGCATACTCCGGCTCAAGCTCGACAAAACTGTTCACAACCACGCCGTAGCTCCTCTCTACCGACTCCACCATCGCCTGCGTTGAGTATTTCAAACCCAAAGAAACCTCCAATCTCGTCATCTCTATACGGTGAGGTAGGCCTTCGACCGCGAACACCTCAGAATCATCGTTAACTTTCTCGTAAGGAGTGTAGCGCAGGAGGCTTTCATGTACGCAATTGGCAAACGTGCCATGACCGTAGAACACGATTCTAGGCACGTTGAGTGCCGCAGCGGTGTCCGTGGTCCATGTGAACATAAAGTCGGAGACGATGCAGTCTGGGCGGCGAGAGTACAGGAGCTCTTCAATGGGCTTCTGGAGGGAGTAGAAGGCGATGAAGAAGTCGCGGAAGTCAGGGAAGGTGAGAGAGGCAAGGTTCTCGTTGCCGTCGCGTAGGAGGTGCGTGACGGAGTGGGGGAATGGGACAAGGAGGAGCTCAATGGCGGTGGATTGGATCGACGGGCGGACAAGGGGTTCATTGGCAGGGGTGGTGATTATGGTGGCTGAGATGTTTGGGCGGAGGGCGAAGAGCTTGGCCATGTCGACCATGGGGATCATGTGGCCGGGGCTCATTAGAGGGAGGAAGAAGATGCGGAGGGGGCGTTGATCTTCAGTTCCCATTGTGAGCTTGGTAGTGAAGCGATAGATGAGAGAGAAATTCAGAGGAGCAGATGTAAATGAAGTGAGGGGAGTTGTTGTTCTCTTCTGTAACGGACTGTGTCGTGTAGTAATGGGAACTGCAATGCTGAGAAGCTTGAGAGCAAACACTTGGCGCTAACCTTTAAACTTTAGGAACAGCCTGTGTGAGCCGTGCTATCGTGAGTCAGTATGAGATTGTTAAGTTAAAAGATGCATTAATTTAAATTAAGATTCCTCCTAGAAATTTTCTTCATCTATAATAGTACTTGGGTTTAAAAATAAATGGGAGTAAACAAATGGGTCTAAAAGCAAAAACCCCTTAAAACTATTGACAAATTGTGGAAGCTACTGTTGGACGATGACAACGAGAACTGCTTCTAATATAGGTAGATATACTACTTTTTGGGCAGGTGCCGCGGATGAGAGATTGGAAAGGAGACTTCGCCGGGCGGCTAAAAGTGTCGGACTCCAGGAGCTTGCAAATAAGAGCGCTGATGCCACTGGGGATTGCCTTCCTCATGCCCTCTAAACTCAGAAGCCACTGGGAAATGTACCTTTTGTCGGTTATCTACTGATGTTCTACCTCATAAAACTAAGTTGTTTTGTTTCTAAGTATGTTTTCTTCCTGAAATTTAGTATGTAAGTATGTATCTTTGTGCTATCTAGTTGAGGTTCCGTTATGGGTCCAGTTTGGTAGGTGACGACACAGGTCCGCTCCTTACCTGCTTCACCCTATGTGGTTCTTCAACTAGTATTGTAGTAGTTATGTTTATTAATAAAATCTTTAATGAGCAGGGCTTTTTACCCTGCTTTTCAGCTCAAAAAAAATACGTCTTAACCAAAGCGAAGGAAAACTTCAAAATCTTCAAACGGCAGGGAAGTTCGACAAAAGATCTTTCGACCTTTTGCTGTGTAAAAATTCTATAGGACCTCTTGTTTGAATCACTATTCTTGTTCGCGATCTCCAAAGAGAAGAAAATTTCATTGGCTTGTTTCCCACACTCAATGTTTGATACAAATCTCTCTATAAATTCAAGTCTTTGCAAGAGCTAGGTTGAATATGAGATGAACAAGGTTCCGAATGAATGACTCTCTTATTAGGATACGGCTTTGTTATTTTGTTGTACAAATATATCGGACAAGTTGACTATCTCTTGCTTGGCCGCACACAAAAAGATCATTACGCATACAAATCCATTAAATATAAGGAGAAATTTTTTAAATCAACTATTTTGATAATTTAATCGGTGAAAACGACATTCTTCCTTAAAAATGAGCAAAATCAACCATTTTTAGCCCTCTCGGGCAGAAAACGATTGATTTTGCTGAAGGGGTTTTTTAATTACACGGGACTACTAATCCCTTGTAATTAGGGGTTACTAATCCATCATTAGCCATGCTAAGGAAATGGAAAATGGGAGTAGTCCCGTATAATTTGGTCGCTTAATTAAGACTTTAAATTACACGAGACTAGTAGTCCCGCGTATCGTAAAAATTGTATTTTAGCAAAATCAACCGTTCTCTCATGACGAGCGGTCGATTTTGCTAATTTTCCCCCTAATTGAATCGTTTTTGCTGATTAAATTCTCAAAATAATTGATTTCAAAATTTTGTCCAAAATATAAATAGACAACATAGAATAGCGAAGCTCATATTTTGCCCTAATGGTTTCTCAATGTAACTTATCAATTAATTGAATAAACAATTCCCAAAATTATCAATTTATCATTCCCGATATGTCCCGCCTTAGTTTCAATGGTGAATTAAATAGAAAATTAACATAAAAGTAAGTGAAAATACATGCAAAGTAGGCGTTCTGTGACACCAATGTATAGTGATGTCTTATCACGCCAATGTACAATATATAACTTCACCGATGATGACATACGTGAACTAAATCATTTTTATGAAACAACAAGGGAAAAGAGTTGAACAAAGAGAAGGGAAGCATAAACTATAATTTTTATGAGACCTTGGCGTGAAAATAGACCGATTCTGGGCCAGCCAAGAAAAGTCTATGACCAAATCCTTTGAAGCTTGAAATTCACTCTCTAATTGCTTGGGTTTCTTTATTTTATTCGTTGTGAATATTCCTGTATCCCACCAGTAATATCTCTTCTTCCAGGTGACGTACAAGTATACATCTTTTATACAATTCATGACAAGTACAGTAGCCCACACCCACCCACCCACACACCCAAAAAAAAAAAAAAGACGCAACCCAAGTATTAGTCCCACGAATCTTTCACATTTTGAAGTAGTCCCTGAGATCTTGATATTTTGACATAGTCCCTAGATCTTTAAGTGTTTTTCAATTAGTCCCCCAAATTCTTTAAACATTTTGAAATTAGTCATTCTAATTAGCGGTTGGTTGAAATATTTGGGGCTTATTAGATTTGGGGGGAATAATTTCAAAATATGAAGACTTGGCGGGCATATTTCAAAAACACTTAAAAGTTTTGGGAGGCTGATTTCAAAATATCGACATCTGGAGGGACGTACTTAAATTTGAAGATTTAAGAGACTAATTTCAAAAGCCCAATGGTGTTGACTTGATGACTAATATCGAGAGAACCCTACCTTTTATGGGCCAGCAAATTTCAGTGATTTATTAGTGAGGGTCAACATAACCCGAAGGCCCACTATTGTAGTGGAGTTTATATGGGCTTAAGTTTCTTGGAGCACAAACCTCAGTTTGTATATCCAGTTTAAAGGTCCGTCTACCCCTAAACCACTTTCACTCCTGCTGCGACACGAACGAAAGAGACCTAATGGCATCACTCTGCAGGTCTCCCGCCATCGCCGCCGTGAGATCGGCCGCCGGCCGCTCGCAAACCCTAATTCCGATCACCGCACCGTCGAGAAGATTCTCTCTCCTCTCTTCAAGGTAAATTCTAAACCCTAGCTTTCCTTGCCTCCATCTTAGTTTGTTCCTTCCTTTTTCTATTGTTCTTATTTTTAGGGCTATCGTCTCCGCATTGGGCACTGTTGAGTCTTTAATACCTCTTCACAGCGCGATCGCCTCGTCTCGTCTTAAATCGAGCATCGGCGTTGATTCCTCTTGCTGGACTTGCCTCTCCCAAGGTGATTGCAAATCCAAATTAGTTTGGTTTTTTTTGGTAGAGTTCGTGTATTTTCAGTGGTTTTGTAGTGTAATTGAGTATATGTGGTTTAAACGATTATATTCTTTCAGTGAAATAGGATTTGAAATAGAAGAGGATAAAATAAATATGTATTAGATTAAGAAGAATGTCGGGAAGACTTTGGAGAGCAAACAAGAGCTAATGCTCGGGAAGAACCATAGAGATGTGTCGAGAATTTGCACGAAGTGCTGATACGTTGGAAGAAATACTAAAAACTTGAACAAGTGGTGCTGGGGAATAGCGACTCGATGTTTGGGTCATTATGAGTACCAACACCCATGCTGATGAAAGATAAGAACGACACTGTTAGTGTATCAATAAATTAGGGTTCACGGCATCATGTTTTTATCTTTCTAGTAGACTTACAAGCAAATTCAAGATCGGAATGTAGTAGATAAACCTTACAGATTATATTAAAACCGGAGACCATTGTATATTGTGACACTTGATGGCATAGAATCTATATTGATCTCTGCAATCTACCATTGATTATCTATGCCCGACAATTAGTAAGTTTTGCATGGAACATCTGAATGTTTATTCTGTGTGCATACTGGTTTGCATACCCTCCTCTTAGATTAAAATATTGAGGAGATCATGTAAACATACGAGAGCAGTTTGCTTTCTTTTTTATATAATGACATAATTACTGTTGGTACATGTCATTGCTGGTACAGTTTGCTTAGGTGGTAATGTTTGAACCATGCATATTGCTTAGTAGTTCATTATCAATCCCTGAAATATGTATGGAATTAAATGTTACGTCTGGTTTTGTTCTTGATGTGAGCTCCCGGACCCTGTGATGTCCAGTCTTCTTGCATCTTCAGCTATGGTGATGCCTTGTTGATCATGAAGATTATTTACTCTTTCTAGAACACCCTTTCATATTGTTTCCACTATTCAGTTTTGTCTAGTGAACTCCCATGAGACTTCGTGTCGGCCAGATAATTGTCAACCATGTGTCTAGTTGGTTAGTTGTTACATTGTAATTACGATTTTAGATCATTTCATGTAGTTGAAGTCTCGGTTGATTCTTGAAGTTGATTGATATTTGCCTCATATCCTGATCTGTCTTGATATTAAGTTGGCTTGGATCATTACAAGCAATTGATGTCACGTTTGATTCTTGAAGTTGATTGATATTTCCTCGCATCCTGATCCTTTACTTCTTGATGTAGGGCGTGCTTTACCTTTGTGATCAAGCTTTACTGGTTATTCAGAGAACCGGTAGATAATAGTCTTTTGTCAGTTTGGAGGCATCGAGGCACTTAATGTTATGGCTAAAACTATATATCATGACATTGAGAAAGTTTGCATTTTATGTTTATCACTTGTAACATGTGGTTTTAGCATTTTGGGATATTGTTTAACTAATGAGCATAACTTGGGTGTCTAAGAATAGTTATTTGTGCTATAGTTTGGTTTGTTACTGTAAGTCCATTTTGCAAATTTCACTTTTATGTTACAAATTATAACACTAGCATGCATGTGTGGATACTCATACTGCAATACAAATACTTCCATTCTGGCCAAGCATTTATCCATTCTGAAACACAAACAACATAGCGGTTGGATTATATTTGGCAACTAATCAGGGCAGCGAGCAAACCGATTACTTATGGATTTTAAGATTGTTTGTTGTTTCTAAGGACTTCATTGATTGGTTGTACGCAGTAAAAATATTTTCGAAGGCTATTCTAATTTAATTGATGTTAATGTTCAACCGCAGCGAGGAGTTGATCATTCTTGTTCCTGTAATCAGTATTCAGAGAAGGGTGGGAGCGCTTCTGATCTTATCCCTGATTATTTATAGTGTGTATCATACTTTATTGCTAATTTATGGAACCATAAGTAATATAGCTTGATTGCCTCGTGCTCATTAGTCGGGGTTGACATCAAAGTGCTGCAAGCAAAAATGCCGTGGTTCTGTTTTCAATATTCAATTAGTAAAGGCTCGGTTTTGAGGTTATTTGCTACAAATATATATATATATATTGGTAAATACTATAATACTTTGAATTTCTTTTGAAGAAGATCGCTTCTGATGCCAGCTGCACTGTTCTTTTTTTAATGACTTATAATAAAATTTTAAAATATTTTTTATATTTTAGTAATTTCCGCACCAGAGCTATATATTTTGGCTAATCTCTTTAAGCTAGTCTCTTTAAGCAGCTGATTAAGCGTTTCTTTAAGCTATTTACTCCCAGTTCTCTACTGAAATTGATTTTCCTCGCATCTTCTTGAGTCTGTGTAAAGCACTACCAAATGGTATTTGATGCAACTGTTCTCTCCTAAAATTTGACTTTTGAATACTAAGTTTCATTTGACTGGCTTTTACACGAACAAGACAAGATCAAACTCTTTATCAATGATCACATCTATGTGTTTAAGTGAGCAGTAAGCAAGTTCCATCTTTCTCAACATTTTACACTAAGGGTCTGTTTGGTTATTTCCTAAAAAACCAAAAAATAGAAATAAAAATCAAAAAAATCTCAAAAAGTACAATTTTACACATTTCCATCCCTAAAACTCACCCACAATATCTAATAAAATATTATTTTTATCCAACAACTCATCTACCACATCTAATAAAATATTATTTTCATCCAACAACTCATCCATCACATCCACCACATCTAATAAAATATTATTTTCATCCACAACATCACTCAACTCACCTCATCTCATATTTAAAAATCACTCACATCATCCAATAAGATTGTGACAACTCATCTCATCTCATTAACATTTTATTTCTTTGTTTTCCTCCCCAAAAGCTAGGAAAACAATTTCCTTAAGTGTGGGTCACATCATCCAATAATATAATGACAACTCATCTCATCTCATCTATTTTCTTATTTTTAAAAAATAACCAAACAAAAGAAAACAACCTAATACAAGAAATATGTTTCTTATAATTTATTTTCTTATTTTTTCCGCCAACCAAACAACATCAAAATAAGTTTTCTTAAAAACTCACTCACATCATTCTATAATAAGGTGACAACTCATCTCATATCATCTCCATTTTTTTGATTTCATTCTTTTTTTAGTCAACCAAACAATCTCAAAACCTATTTTTCTTAGAAATAGATTTCATTTTCTTTAATTTTCCTTTTTTTAGACAAACAAACAGTCCCTAAACGTTCGTACAATATTGTCCCCATTCGAAGCGACATGTACCCTGACTATGGTTGTACTGCCAGAAACCATAATTTGATAACTATGATTAGCATAAGTATATCTAATAATAAGGGGAAAGGAACGTGAAACACCTGCAGAAAAAAAATAAGACGGCAAAAATTATTAAGCCTTGATATGACGCACTTGCCAGAGGAATAAAATATAAATGGGCTGGCTATCATGAAAGAGGAGACTTGGATCTGCCAAAACGTATCCGTATCCGAGAAAATATCCGTAACCGTATCCGTTAGGATACGAATATGGTTACTCAAATCTATTACCGATAGGATATGGTTGCGGATATGATTTTGTAGTGAAATATCCGTATCTGTATCCGAAAATATTCGAATACATATTGGTAATACTCTTACGATAGTTTTGATTCTTAGATTACAGATTTGTGGTTAATTTTGATGATCAAGATGTCTAATCTTAGCTTTTCAATCATAATGAACATATTAACGAACTCTTTTTGTATCACATGACTGTAATTTTCTAAATACTATCTAGTTTTCTCATATCCTTTTTGTATCCGCATGCATATCCGTTTATATATCCGCATCTATATCCGTAACCGTATCCGATTTTGGCGGATATGGATATGAATTTTTCTTACCGACGTATATCCGTATCCGTATCCGTATCCGAGATGGGTAAGCGGATATAGATATGATAAGTGCCATATCCGAGCCGTATCCGCTCCGTTAACACCCCTACTTGGATCCCATGATTTCACATATAAGAACAAAGTCTCCTGTTAGAAATAAGCTCATTTGATTGTACGCATACGGAAACAACAGAAAAATCTCTTGCTATAGAAAATTCCGCAGCCAACTTTCTCATTTAATTATTTTCGGCAAATAATTCTTCTGCTCTTGTAAATAATCCTCCTGTATTAACACCTACCCCATGCTTGAAAATTCGAGAGAGATGGTCTGAATAATCTTGATTGTGGAAAGAGTAATAATAATAATAATAATATGAATAAAGAGAGGAGAGAGATGATCAAGTGATGTATTAATAAGATAATTGTCAAATTTTGATAGGGCTGATGTAGAGAAGATGGTGCATAACATACAAAAGTTAAGGAAAATTTCCTGATTATCAGACAAGCTTGGTACCTTCTTCTCCCTTACGAGAACATGGACTCCTGGCCCCTTGAAGAAGATAGCCTTATTTTAGTTAAGGAAAATTTCCTGATCAGCTCGGACCTCAAAGTCCTTTGGAGGGTTATCCTCCCTAGCTTCTGCTGGTGGACTTGGACATGTCGTAACAACTTGATTTTTAAAGATAAACAGGTTAGTCCACAAAAGATTGCTTCAAATGTGGCTCGTCTTACCCTATTTTGGTCACGTGCAGCAAGTGGAAAAGCTGCCTCTCGACTTTATAAAGCTGCTGTTAATTTGGGCCTTGAAGCTTTGGCAGGAGGGGGGACGGAGGTCGCCATGAATGACAATCTCTGAGCAGGTGTTTAGGCTCAGTTGCACCTGCTTTCTTCTTAGTTCTTTTAGAAATGATTTATGGTTTTTTTTCTTTTTTTTTGGCTTGATATCGGGGAGAGTTGATAACGGGGTGGATATTAGTGTGTGGGTGACGACAAGGTCCTCTCCCTTCCCCATATAGCCACTTTTGTTCTCTTCTTCTCTTCAGTCATACTTTGTAAGTATCTATGTTTTTTCAATATATTTTGGTTTTTAAGGAGTGGGGTATTTCACCCCATTTTTTCTTAAAAAAAACATACAAAAGCTAAAGAATTTGATTTAATAGTAGAAAATAATAACGATAAATAGTAAACACTTGTAAAACAATTGTCACTTTTAATTCGTGCAGCTAGTGCAAACTGCCTTAATATTAGTAAAAGACATTTTAATGTATATTTATGTTTTATTAATCTTTACAAACAATTGAAGGAATTTTGTGCTCACCTAACGTTAGTTCTGAAGATTTACACACAGAAGTAGACCGAATAATAACGCTGAAACCTTGAACATTAATTTTTGGGAAAAATGTGTACAGGCCCTAAAAGCAAAAATTTTATGTGACGATGCCCCTCATAGTTTTCCCCATGTAAATCAGCCCTTTGATGTGTGACACTTTGTATTATAGTCTTTTTTATCAATTATTACATGTCAGCTAAGCTAAAATCCCCAAATTATCCTTATCCTCTCTTCTTAATCTCTCAGACCAGCAATCATATCATCTCTCTCTCATCTCCTCTCTCTCTCTCTCTCTCTCTCTCTCTCTCTCTCTCTCTCTCCTCTCTCTCTAAAACTAAGAGCTTTCTCAAGCTCGTCAACCTGGCACTCGCCCTCCTCGCCGTTGTCGCCTCCGCTCAGGCCCCTAAGGCTTCCCTCGAGTTCGCCGTCACCTCCCCTCCCCTCCTCCACGCGTCCTTGTCGTCGTAGATTGCCGCCGCTCCCCCGCCGTAGATTGTCGTCGTCGAGACGCACAGAGCATTAATCCATTAGCTAGAAGAAGAAAAGAAAAAAAAAGAAAAAAATGTTTGACCAGCTACAAATAAATGAACGATTTAATTTTAAAAAATAGTCAAAAGTTGTCCCTATTTTTCCACTTTCACGAGACATCCACACCTTTTTGGAGGAAGCTGAATTTGCAATAAACCTAATGTGCGCAGTCTTTTTGTATTTTAATTTCGAACAAATTTTTAAAATAGACCATTTTTAAAACTTAATTAGCAAAATAGGCTGAAAAATATTTAATTACCAAAAATTGTTGTAAGCTGGGACGGTAGTTATAAATCGTTGTTATAATAAGGATACAGTCATGTTTTTATAAATAGTTGTTAATTATATTTGATAATTATACCTAATGATATGTTATTTCTAGATGCTATCGTGATAGTTCTAGTAGCCCTCGAGTTAGTTTTACCTTCTATTACCCTAGTTCTAGCTTGTATACAGTCAGTTCTAACCCACACCTTGCTAGTTCTAAACCCAACAAGGGTTTTTTAAATGCACACTTGTTAATTCTTGCTTCTACGTTAGTTCTAGCTTCTATTATCCTAGTTCTAACTTGTATATAGCCAGTTCTAACACACACCTTGTTAGTTCTAAACCCAGCCCGCGTTTTTTGCAAGCAAACTTGTTAATTCTAGCTTCTACGTTAGTTCTAGCTTCTATTACCCTAGTTCTAGCTTGTATACAATCAGTTTTAGCCCACACCTTGCTAGTTCTAAACCTAATAATGGTTTTTTACATGCACACTTGTTAATTTTAGTTCTAAACCCAGCCCGTGTTCTAGAACTGGCTGTACACAAGCTAAAACTAGGGTAATAAAAGCTAGATATAACGTAGAAGAAAGAATTAACAAGTGTGCATGTAAAAAACACGGGCTTGGTTTAGAACTAGCAAGGTGTGGGTTAGAACTGACTGTATACAAGCTAGAACTAGGGTAATAGAAATTAGAACTAACGTAGAAGCAAGAATTAACAAGTGTGCATGTAAAAAACCATTATTGGGTTTAGAACTAGCAAGGTGTGTGCTAGAACTGACTGTATACAAGCTAGAACTAGGGTAATAGAAGCTAGAACTAACGTAAAAGCAAGAATTAATAAGTGTGCATATAAAAAAACCCTTGTTGGGTTTAGAACTAGCAATGTGTGGGCTAGAACTGGCTGTATACAAGCTAGAACTAGGGTAATAGAAGCTAGAACTAACGTAGAAGTAAGAATTAACATGTGTGCATGTAAAAAACCCTTATGGGTTTAGAACTAGCAATGTGTGGGTTAGAACTGGCTGTATACAAGCTAGAACTAGGGTAATAGACGCTAGAACTAACATAGAAGAAAGAATTAACAAGTGTGCATGTAAAAAATCCTTGTTGGGTTTAGAACTATCAAGGTGTGAGCTAGAACTAGGGTAATAGAAGCTAGAACTAGGGTAATAGAAGCTAGAACTAACGTAGAAGCAAGAATGAGCTAGAACTAGGGTAATAGAAGCTAGAACTAGGGTAATAGAAGCTAGAACTAACGTAGAAGCAAGAATTAACAAGTGTGCATGTAAAAACTAACGTAGAAGCAAGAATTAACAAGTGTGCATGTAAAAAACCCTTGTTGGGTTTAGAACTAGTAAGGTACGGGCTAGAACTGGCTGTATACAAGCTAGAACTAGGGTAATAGAAGCTAGAACTAACGTAGAAGCAAGAATTAACAAGTGTGCATGTAAAAAACCATTGTTGGGTTTATAACTAGCAAAGTGTGGGCTAGAACTGACTGTTTACAAGCTAGAACTAGGGTAATAGAAGCTAGAACTAACGTAGAAGCAAGAATTAACAAGTGTGCATGTAAAAAACCCTTGTTGGGTTTAGAACTAGCAATGTGTGGGCTAGAACTGGCTGTATACAAGCTAGAACTAGGGTAATAGAAGCTAGAACTAACGTAGAAGCTAGAATTAACAAGTTTGCTTGTAAAAAAACGCGGGATTGGTTTAGAACTAGCAAGGTGTAGGCTAGAGCTGACTGTATACAAGCTAGAACTAGGGTAATAGAAGCTAGAACTAACTCAAGGGCTACTAGAACTACCACGATAGCATCTAGAAATAACATATCATTAGGTATAACTATTATCAAATATAATTAACAACGATTTATAAAAACATGACTGTATCCTCATTTATAGCAACGATTTATAACTACCGTCATATAATTAACAACGATTTATAAAAACATGACTGTATCCTCATTTATAGCAACGATTTATAACTACCGTCGCAGCTTACAACGATTTTTGATAATTAAATATTTTTTCAGCCTATTTTGCTAATTTAGTTTTAAAAATGGTTTATTTTAAAATTTTGTTCTAAATTAAAATACAAAAAGACTGCGCACATTAGGTTTATTGCAAATTCAGCTTCCTCCAAAAAGACGTGGATGTCTCGCGAAAGTGGAAAAATGAGGACAACTTTTGACTGTTTTTTAAAATTAAATCGTTTATTTATTTGTAGCTGGTCAAACATTTTTTTTCTTTTCTTCTTCTAGCTAATGGATTAATGCTATGTGCATCTCGACGGCGGCGATCTACGACGGGGGAGTGGCAGCGATCTACGACGACGAGGACGGGTGGAGGAGGGGAGGGGAGGGGAGGCGACGACGAACTCGAAAGAGCCTGGCCTGAGCGGAGGAGGCAACGGCGAGGAGGGCGAGGGCTAGGTTGACGAGCTTGAGAAAGCTCTTAATTTTAGAGAGAGGAGAGAGAGAGAGAGAGAGAGAGAGAGAGGGGGGGAGAGAGAGATGAGAGAGAGAGGGGAGATGAGAGAGAAAGATGATATGATTGATGGTCTGAGAGATTGACGAGAGAGGATAAGGATAATTTAGGAATTTTAGCTTAGCTGACATGTAATAATTGATAAAAAAAGGTTACAGTACAAAGTGTCACACAACAAGGAACTGATTCACATGGGAAAAACTATGAGGGGTCACGTCACATGAAGTTTCTGCTTTTGGGGCATGTACATATTTTTCCCTTAATTTTTTATCCTTATTTTTCATTTTTCATTTTTCATTTTTTCCTTTTCTTTATCTTTTTTTCAGCCCTCATCGTCGGTCAAATCTTGACAAACGTGAATTTATTCTGAAATAAAATTGATTCGGAATTTAATAACTCCTTGCTCAAGAATAATATCCTTTTATTAGTAACTCTCTTCATCCCTCGAATACTCCCGTACTTGCTTCTAGAATCTAAGCATAAAATCATACGTCACAATTACATGGGGATCAACACCATCTTCCTCCCCCCTCGCCTTTTAGGCTTCACCTTTGTCCTCACTCTCAATCTTATCCTATCCTCATTCACCCATATAAAGATCCGACCCTGACACCGTTATCGGATCTCCCCTCCCTCCCTTCCTCCAGGATCCGATATCGATCTCATAAACGAGGTAAAATAACAGTTGGTGCACGAGATTAGCGAGTGATCTCGACCGATTGTGAATTTTTTTTTATTATTAAAAACGGCCGACTTTGTCGTATCGTGTGATCTTTGACCAGTCTGAAAACGAGGTTTCTTTTATTTATTTACGATGCATTTTTTTTCTTCAACTTTTATCTTCTTGGATTCAATTCGAATTTACGAGTTGAATAATTAGGTTGTACTTTGATTCCTACCTCTGGAGCTCTTCAATTCTCTAGGGTTTCTGTGAAGAGCGAAAAAAGTTCAGTTTTTGTGGAATCTCTGCAGATTTGTTTATAATTTTTGTTGTTTTCTCTGTGTTTTCTTTTCTTGGATTGATTCTTCGTATCTCTTTTAAGAATTTCTACTCTGAAGCAACTAATTGTAGTTATTTTGTGCTCCCTTTGTATTTATTTTTTTCCCTTTGATTAATTTGCAAAGATTAGATAGAAATATGAGCAATTTTTCTATTTGATTAATTGATTGTTTTGGTTTTATTGATGCAGGTATCTGAATGCCGACGTCCTTATTTTCTCTCTTTGATTGATCCCAGTTAGCACAAAATTAGCTAAAATTTTCCGGAGAATCACATCTTAGTTCAAAATGGGGCGTTCCTATGATCCAGAAAACGAGTCATCAGATTCTAGGAAAATCATCATGCACCCCCTTTACCTGCCAAAGATGCCACCTTGGTTCGATCTGAGAGTCTTCTATGTGAGAGTAAGCAATTGCGAGGTCAACGAATCAACTCCCGAGCTTCTCAAGGTTAACCACATCCCACTTACCCCCGATACCATTCTCGACGTTAACGGAAGAAGAAGTAGCATTTACTCTGATTGTGTCTCTTCGATGCTTAGAAGAGATAGAGTTGATAAGGATTCGGAAGAGGCTACATTTGTGAGCACGGATAGTATAAGAATGACGAGTAGTGTGAGATTTGAGGTCTTTGATAGAGATGAACTATTGCTAGCAGGAGTGCTAGAGTTGTGTAATGGGAATGGGTTTGTAGGGGAATCGAAAAGCCATGGTAAGAAATGGAGCATGAAATGCCAGTCCGTGATGTCTGCTGCGAGTTTTTTGAAGGGTAAACAGTATTTGAGCCCGGAGATGAATTTACCGACAATTGATGTTTATGTAGCTGGTTGCTTCTCGGGGACTCCTATCATACTAACAAAGACTCTTCAGCTTTCTTTTCGCAAGAAAAACCAGAAGAAGGCAGCTCTGGATTCAATTCCAGAGAATGAAACAACTGAACTGAGGAAAGAAGTGTCATCTGAAGATGCTCTCCAGGTAACTCAAATTACAATTTTGAATTTGGAACTTTGCTATATGCTATTTCTGGTAAGAGAGTGTCATTTTGCATGGTGTTTGTTTTAATTACCTTTATACGGTGTTGACCTCAGTTGCAGCATTCAGGCATAATGGTCTTGTTTTTCATGTGGATGATTATGGGCGCAAGACTTGTATATAATATCACACATTCTTATTTCATGCCATGCAGTTCAGCTAGTTCGCACTTTGTTCTCTTTGGTTAATGCTCTGTAGGAGAAACATGTGACAAATTCTGTTTGAATCATTAATTGACACTTCTTACCGAGGCTTCCAGTTCAGCTAAATTGGTAAGGTTTTCTGTAGATAAGCGGGATGCAAACATTCAAATCCTCACTGTCATCATTTTTAAACAGAAGTCAAAGAATCAAGATTGGTGATCATTGGCATGAACAACTGGCCTCAAGTATGAGACGAATTTGGATTGCTAGTTATCGAGCGCAAACACCAAACTCTTTCTTATAATTTTGAATTGTGCATCCATCAGCAGCTTGATCTTGCTGATCTTGATATACAAGGTATATGATGTTTGGTCCTTCAAGAGATGTGAAAAACAAGAGCTTCAATTAGAAAGATGCTTGCGAAGTACTTAAGGTAGTAAGCAAAAGATCAATTACTATTGAATGGGTGGATTAGAAGTAACATTGTACGACATCTGAAAAATCTATTATCGAGAGAAAATGGCTATCTAATGCAGATGAAACCACCAAAAAGGCACCAACAATCAGAAAATTTGATCTAGTTGTTACAATCAGAAAAATGTAAAAGGAACCAACAAAAGGACTAAAGGTGAGCACAGAACATTGAACTGGTGAAAGATTGGCCATCCAATGCAGGTGGAGAGGGAATAGATTGGAGATAGAAGAAGGGTATAACAATAGGAGGAGCTGTATGAGATGGTAATTGATCAGAGGAAATTTGTTAATGTTTTCAAATTGGGATTGCTGAAAAAACATTGGCACGTGTTTCAAAACTGAGCCAGCTCAGTAGCAGATTTGAAATTCTAAAGCTATATATCCTTGTGAATCCGGAGAACATGCACCTGATAACATAGAAGGCTCACATAACTGTCCTTGGTTGAAAATTATAGCATTATTAATCTGCTTGACACATACATACTAGATTCATATAGTGAAATACTGCAAGCTGCTGATCTTCTTCGGAATGCTAACATGCTATGATTGAATTATGAAAACTGACCTAATTTTTAGTTCCACAAGATTGACTTTCTAGATATTATTAACGAAATGACGACTTGTACATGGGACAAATCATATTCCATCTGTAAGATAAATGGTCGTGTTTGGTTTTACGAAGTGTCCATGTAGGACTTAAAAGCTCCTATCATGTATTTTAGCTTATCAAAGACCTTAAATCTTTTGCTAGCATTAAAAAGGATGGTCATAACACATTTCAGGATCAGACTATTAATTTTGTTTTTATGTTCGCTAGTATAAAGGACATACTTGTTTTATATTTGAATTTCTTTTTCATTGACTGGAAAATGGTGAAGAAATTTGCACATATTGAACTTTTTAGAATTTTTTGTTTGTAAATGAAATTTGTACAATAAAATTGTGTATAAAGAATTTTATGAATAATTGTAATAATTTGAATAATTATTATAATTTAATCATAATTTGTTTAAATAGTTATAACATATTAAATATTTAATATTATAATATCTTAATTAGTATAACAGTATAACTATAATTTAGGATAGCTATAATAAATTATAATCCTATTTTATAACTGTTAAATGGCTAATAAAGTATTATTTAATAGTATAATTATGAAATAATAATGTAATTCTGAATCTAAGTAATACTATTAAAATAATTATGCTATTTATATTGTTAAATAATTATATAATATTAAGTTTTTTATTAAATAAAAATATAATTCTAAATAGGATAACAGTGTACTATTTCATTATTATATATTATTAATAATAGGCTTTGGTAAAGTGAAGAAGTGCATAGTTAATAATAGGTTATGGATAATTTGTGATGGATTAATTATAAATAATGGGCATAATTGGAAATTATCAAAACTGAAAGGGTAAGAGAGGCGATCCTCTTTTATTAGTATAGATATAGATTATCCGAAGGACCCCTTAATTTAAGTCATCATCTTGTGTCCTTAAAACATTAGTTTGACCTTTATTACCAATAATGTGCAACATACATGGTTCTGTTTGGTTTAGGTGGTGCCATGAAGAACCTGAAACCTGTCCTAAAACTGGGTATGAGTGGCCTTCCAACGTTTATATAAGCGTTAAATTTCTGGCGTGATGGTTAATGCACATGTTTTTATCCCCACTCAGCATATTTGTTTAAAAAAAATAATTATGTGTTTCTTTGATATGTGAAATTGCTGCATTTTGTTTTGTCAATGCTATAAATATTTCTACCAAAAACATGATACGATTATGAAAATTTTCCCTATGACATTTGGCCTTGAGAAAATATTTGCAAAAGTTACCTCATGATTGAGATATTTATTAGTTCCTTATAGTAGTTGTCTATATTAGTGCACTTGGCCATGGTTTCTTCTGTTTGTTTACTGCAAGTGCTCACAAAACCCTTACTGTCTCCCAGGTATCTGAATACCATGATTACAGAGCAGAAAATGACGTGGACATTGATTACAACAGTATCTACTCAAGGGAAGAATATATTGAAGGTGAGGATGGTGAGCTTTCATGGTTCAATGCAGGCGTGAGGGTTGGTGTAGGGATTGGTCTTGGCATTTGCCTCGGCATTGGAATTGGTGTTGGTGTTTTAGTTCGCACATATCAAGCGACTACAAGAAATTTCAAGAGGGGGCATATATGAAAGTCATGATTCGTTTTGCCTATTTTGATAGCCTTGGAAGTGGACTTCTGTGATCATATACTGAATTCCTAAATTTTGCTTGTATGTTCTTTTGTTTTTTCTTTTATCAGGCTTGCAGAGTTACCAATTTCGTTCATTTGTTTTTTCTTCTCCTTTTCTTATGTAGCTTAATGCTACGTTGGAATTATTTGAAATTGTTCTTATACATATTCTCTTCTTCCGGTGTACAAAATAAGATGTGAACTGTTCTCTTGTCAATTTTGGATTGTTAAGTTTATGGAAGAACTCGTGGCACCTCAGTTTTGACTTTAAAAGAGTCAATTTGATGTAACATCGTCTCATTTCCTACGTGTGGTTCTGTTTGAGTCATGATGATCTCACTTGATAGTGTAGTGATCCAAGGTAGGATGTGGTGAAATTTTACTTCTAGAGGAAAAAAATAATGGACAAAATCAATTGCAGGCGCAGATTGATCTATAGGATGGAAAAGCATCCCTCTGCACTGATTCTAGTGGAAAAAAAAAAATCGAAGACACTGAACTCCTGTAGATTTCCATAGTATAGACAGGTTTTCACTGTTAATGTTACTCTTTAGTGTTACTCCAATCATTTGTTCGCTCAAAAATTTGCAGGGGAAAAAAACAGAAAAGAAACTATATTCACTGTTAAACTGCTGTTATAAATAGAAAATTGAAGGAATAAAAACTGCATTCTAGCATGGACCTAAATTCTTGAAGGGCGCTGTTGCTCGTCTTGTTGAGACCTCGGTGAATCTCAATTCTTTGATTCTTGTTTTTTCACATCCACCTGAACAGAGCCATGCAGGATATATCAAAATAGTATTGATTGGGAAGTTAGTAGGTCACACAAGCAGACGAATAACTGAAAATTCAAAGCATTTTGGATCAATCTCCATAGTTCAACATGCTCAGATGCAGTTCTCACTAGAAACTGCTTATTATTATTATTTCTCTCCTTTTCCGTTTGTGTACAGTGTTGTCATACAATGAAAAGAAACGTTTGCTGCGGTGCTGTAGTTCAACCAAGCTTTGGTTCAACTTGCTTGAGTCAGAACTAGCGGGGTTTCAGATGCTGCCTCCAAAGGGCATTTCTCGTTGGTTGTAAGGGTTAGCTTCTCCTCCAACTCCCTCATTATGGCTGTTGATTTTGTCTCATCCTTATTCATCAATGCAGAATAATCTTCATGGTTGTATTCTATCTTGTTCTTTCCTCCAAACTCCATGGGGAGGGTATCGACATCAAAGTTTTTCCGCATGAGTTCCATAGTTTCTTCTTTCTTTGGGTAAATGAAGGTCACCTTCTGAAATGTCACAGGATCCAGGAACAATTTGACAACCTGCACAGCAGAATAGAGCTTGTGAGTTGATGCAATACACGTTAACAAGGTGTTATTAGAGCTTACTAGTCGAAATCTCCTGCGTCTTCCTCTAGATTATGTGTTTGAATAAAAATACTGTAACATTCACTGTGTATGGTTAGAAGCGTAAAACTTAAAATGGAAGCTGACCATGCACAGACATGCACGATGAGGGAGCAATTAAACATGCTCAAGTGTGCGTGATGGTTGATGGGATCAGCTCTTTCTTTTTTCTTTCTTCTACTTCTTTTCTTTTACTTTTTTTCGGTGGGTTGGGGGTTGTTTTTTTTTTTTTTTTGGGGGGGGGGGGGGGGGGCTGCGCTAGAAAATGGGATTAGCTCACATATAAGAGGTGTTTGATGCCCTTTTTAGACGTAAAATAGAATGATGAAGCAGAAAATATATGACGGTCTTGCACAATAAATCCTACTCAGGCCAATACATGAAGAAGTCATGATTGAGAAATTTTCTTTTTATTTATTTACATACGGAACGTTGTGCTCGTCTGAGACAATTTAATGAGGATGGAAATGGAACTTTTTTAGTGGATGGTTATTGCTTGATATGATTAGAACAAAAAAGAAAAAGGAAAAGGAAAAGAGCAACATGTATAAGCAGCAAAAATTCTGTTAGGTAGGATTTGTCAATTGTTTGAAACAAAATTTGAGAAAGCTTAGATGTACAGAGAAAAGAGTAAGATTCAAACCTTCCAAAAGGCTTCAAAGACTCTAGGAGGATTGTAAAGAAATGCAGAAGAAAGCCTCTCAGGATATTGATTTTGCAAAATATTTGCTGTTTCTCGAGCGGTTTTTATTGGCACTGAGTTACTTAGTGACCAGCCAGTGAAGTCAATCAACCACACCGTTTGCTCTTGACCCTCAGGTAGATTTAGAATTGCGTTCTCTATGAGATACACGAGATGACGAAGTTGATTATCATGAGATTTTGTGTTCTGCAAGTTAAACGCTTGAACATATTCAGTATAGTGTAGGTCAAAAAATTATATTATAAAAATTCCTTTCACAAACTAAATCAAACCTGTTTGCCCGGTCTTAGCACAAGAACAGTCCTCCCCTCTCGATCCATGAAATTTGCTCTGTATGCTTTCCCAGTTTCACCTTCATGGGCAACTTCATTCTGAAAAAGTAACCATGCTTAAGCTACAAATATAGCTTTTATAATTCAAAAAGACTAATGGGTCCAGGCACAATAATTTACCCAGCGAATTTCCTCTGGCTTGTAAGTGGACCTCCACTTTAGTGACTCTTCGAACATATGTTTGGCCTTAGCAACGTTCCAGCTCCGAGCTTTCAAATATCTCCTCAGGCAGGGATCAGTGCAGAACTTTGCATTGCGGCCAGATAATGGTCCAATTGTAGCTTTTAGCTCATTGATCTGTAAAAGGATCCATCAAGAAAACAAGTCGACTGAGATGTACAAAAATTTGCGTAACTCAATGCTATTTGAAAATTCAGCCAACAGAGGCATTATAAATCAATAAGAACCAAGTGAACAAAAAAAAGCTAATGCGTTATAGATTAATTCTGCTACACGTGAAAGTTTGGAACTGATACAGAGATACGTCTGAACTGATACAGAGATACGTCTGAACTGATACAGAGATACATCTGTATACAAATACCGTAAAATCACCATAGTAGATAACATATGCATAACCAACTTCCAGAGACAACTCATATCTTAGGATACGTTGGATATCCAATGAGAAAAAAATATAAAGAAACTGAGTTCCATGCAATCTCATGACCTAAAATGTGGATGTACTACGCCAAGAGAATTGGAACAATCATCCTTCATAAACTAGTAGCGTACACCCGAAACTAGCTCAAGTATTGTATTAATATGCAGAAAACATAACAAGTAAACTTTCTAACAAATATAATAAAGAAAAACCACTTATGCACCTTGATGGCTTGATATATACTCATCTGTTTCACATGAATAGAACATTGAACTTTTACCTTATGTATATCGAACTTAACATGTGTATCATAAAATTACTGTATAGACATGAGTGTTTGGAGAACAGCTATTTGTTACCGAACAGTTGGTTGGCAAGTTAACAACAAATGGGTAACCCTGATAATGACATGGACACAGATACTAGCTATTTAAGTAAAGGGTTTTTATATGAAAATCACCTTAACTTTTACTCAAATTACAACTTATTACATGTTCTCAATGTCACACCTTTGCCACTGTTCAGAACAAAATTTTTTAAAAAATACCAATTTTACCGCCACTCCCTCTCTCCATCTTCTTAGTTCCCTCCTCCCCCGTCTCTCACCTCATTCCTTCCATACTCCTATCCATATCTCTCCACCTATAGGGTTTTCTCAAGCCCTATATTTTTTCCTCTCCTCCCCCTCACAATCGGCCCCTCCACCTCCCCATTTCCTCTCCTCCCCCCTCCCTCCTCCACCATCTCCTTCATTTCTAGGGTTCTTTCTAAAATCCTACCCCATTTCCTCCTCTTGTCCCTCTTTACCTCCTCTCGTCCCTTTTTACCTCCTCCTCCATTCTCACTTTTCTCATTTCCTTCCTCTCCTCCTCCCCCCTCCCTCCTCCTCTCTCTCCACTCTCACTGTCGACCTCCTTTCCTCCTCTCATGCCATTGACCGACCAACTTCCCTCCCCCTCTCCCTTTCCTCTCCTCCTCCTCCTCTTCTTTTTTCTATTGGGTTAGATTGAGGGGTATTATAGTAATTTCATATTTTTTTAGAAAAATAGAAAATATCAAAAAATATGAAACATGTATGCAAATTATGGTGGTTCACATCTGTTGATATTAGTTGGCCCAAAGGCCTGTTAGCTAAAGGCCCAGTTCCCCTCCTTTATCTTGTGCCCTAGCCCAACTCTAACCTCCCCCTACGCGATGGTACTCAGCCTCTTCCCATCTCCTACCCGATGGTACTCTGTCCCCTTCACCATACCTGTGTCCGGTTGGCTGCCGCTGCGAGTCCCATCTCTGATCCCTCGAAACCCTAGCCTTTCTTCCGTGTCGGCTGCCCCCTTCTCTATATCTATCGAAGGGTTTGGTAGTAGCTCGGAGGGGAAGAGAAAGCTGAGCTTGAGCTCCTCTGTTGTGTGCGATCCTCTCCTCTCCCATGTGAGCTTTGTGCTCTCACCCCCTTTGTGCGATCCCCTTTCCTCTTTTAAGGCTATTGGTCAGACTTATTTGACTTTTGACACTGAAGAAAAAAGAGCTAAAATGAACGAAAATGCTTATTCCACAATTTATTTGAACTTATCTGACTTTGTACTTAGAAAAGTTGGAATTATGGAATCTGCTAAAACCCTTTGGGATAAACTTAAAGAACTCTATACTGAAACCTCTTTGCCCAGTAAAATGTTTTTGCTTGAATTTTTTTTCAAATTTGACCGCTGCAGGACCGCCGCCGGACCGCCGCGTGGGTGTGGGTAAGGTCGAAATCCTCTCCTAGGGTTTCGCTCAGGTATATCGTCGGAAAACCCAACTTTGCTCAAGAAATTCTGTTTTTCGCTTAAGAAATATTCAAGCAGTATCATTTTTTTAGCAAAGTTCTGATTTCGCTCAAGAAATTCTGTTTTTCATTTTCTTGCTGTTTTTTTTTCCTCCTCCGCTGCGATTAAGTGCTGAAATTAAATTTTACTTGTGCTCGTGCGAAAGAACAAAGGGTCTGAACCCGAGCTTCGTGCTCATCGTTATTCCCAGTTTGTTTGTGCTAGTTGCTTCGCACACTTTGAGCCTGATAAATTTTAAAGTTTTTTAGCTATATTTGCATTTTATTTTCTTAAAAAATTGAGTGTTTTTCTGTGTGAAAAAAAATGTCTGCTACTAATCAATATGGTATGGTTTAATATGGTATGATTCCGTTCAACGAAAAATCTGATTTTAGCATTTGGAAACAAAAAATAAAATGCATCTTAATTCAACAGAAGTCTTTTAAGGCTGTTGGTCAGACTTATTTAACTTCTGACACTGAAGAAAAAAGGGCTGAAATGAACGAAAATGCTTGTTCCATAATTTATTTGAACTTATCTGACTCTGTGCTTAGAAAAGTTAGAATTATGGAATCTGCTAAAACCTTTTAGGATAAACTTGAAGAACTCTATACTGAAACCTTTTTGTCCAGCAAAATGTTTTTGCTTGAATTTTTTTTCAAATTTAGATTGGATGTCTAAGGACATTGAGGAGAACCTAGATGTTTTCACAAAACTTATTTCTGATATTAAGTTAACTGGTGATAAACATATAGACGACTATACTCCTATTGCCCTTCTGAATGCTATTCCTGACTCATATAGTGATGTGAAATCTGCTATTAAATATGGTAGAGATGAGGTTACCCTTGACATAGTGATCAATGGTCCTAAGAGTAAGAAATTAGATTTAAAACATTCTGGGGGAAATAAAAATTATGGTGAGGTTATGCATGTGAGGGGTAGGCCTCAGAATAGGTCTAATAACCAAAAGAAGGCTAGTAATGGGGAATCAAGTAGGAGAAAATTTAAAAATGGAAGGGGTAGATCTAAGTCTAGGTTTAAAGTTAAAAAATACTATAATTATCATGAAACTGGTCACTTTATTAAAGATTGTCCTAAGCCTAAGAAAAATCAGCAAAATGATCATGCTAATATGGCTGTCTGTGAGGGGAAAATGGGTGAAATTTTCATGATCAATAATCTGTGTGATTATGCCTATTTGAACTCTATGTTATTTGATCCTTTGTGTAAATCAGATTGGCTGGTAGACTCTGGTTGTACTTTTCATATGACTCCTTTTAAAAACTTGTTTTCAAACTACAAGAAAATAGAGAATGGCTTTGTGTCAATAGCAAATGAAAAGAAATACAATATTTTAGGAACTGATGATGTATGCCTTAGGTTTTCTTCTGATTTTGTGTTTACTTTGAAGGATGTTAGGCATGTTCCTGATTTACGTTATAACTTGATTTCTTATGCATCTCTAGAAAATGATGGTTTGGAGGGAAAATGAGGTAAATGTGTTGAAAATTATGAAAGGGTCTCTTGTTGTTTTTACTGCTGAAAAACAAAATAATTTGTATGTTTGTCATGCTGAACCTGTACTTGATTCTGTTAACTCTGTGATAGGTGATAAATCTGTTTTATAGCATAATAGATTAGGTCACAAGAGTAACAAAGGATTAGAAATTTTGCATAAAGGAGGTCACTTTGGTAGTGATAAAATATCCCCCATCTATTTTTGTGAATCTTGTGTGTTGGAAAACAACATAGGGTTAGTTTTCCTACTTCTTTCTTTCCTAATCAGTCTAAGTGCACTAATGTACTTGAATATTTGCATGCTGATGTGTGGAGTCCCTCTAGTGTGCCTACGCATGGAGAGAACCAATATTTTTTTTCCATAATTGATGATTATTCTAGAAAAGTTTGAGTTTTACTCATGAAACAAAAATCTAAAGTTTTTGATAAATTTAAAAATTAGAAAATTATGATTGAAAACCAAACGAGAAAGAAAATTAAAACTCTTAGGACAGACAATGGTCTTGAGTTTTGTAACAAACAATTGAATGATTTGTGTACTACTTGGGGTATTAAAAGGCATACAGAATGAAGTTGCTGAAAGAATGAATAGATCTCTCTTAGAGAGGGTGAGGGCTATATTGGCCATATCTGGGCTCTCCAAGAAGTTCTGGGGAGAAGCTGTTTGTATTGCGACCTATTTGATTAATAGGTCTCCTTCTGTTCCCTTAGGAGGGAAATGCCCTGAATTTGTGTTCATGGACAAACCTCTTGATTTAAATAATTTGAGAATTTTTAGGAGTGCTGGCTATGTGCATCAAAAGATTGATAAGTTAGAACCTAGATCTAAAAAATGTGTTTTCTTAGGATACCCTGAAGGGGTAAAAGGTTATAGGCTTTGGAATAAGAGTGAACCAGGGTTTAAGGTAGTAATAAGTAGAGATGTTGTTTTTAATGAAAATAAATTTACTTGTTTACCTTTACATGTCCCTATTCCTGAAAGTGATGCTCCAAATGAGGTAGAGCAAATGCCTATTATTAATCAACCTAAATCATCTCCTGAAGAAAAATTGAATGATATAATTATTAAAAATCAAGATGGGATTATTCCAAATGAGCGTGATATGCAGGAAATAGATAACATGCATGATTTGAATGATTATCAACTAACTAGGGATAGAAATAAAAAAACCATTAGGAAACCTGAAAGATATAGAGATTGCAATTTGATTGATTGTAATATGTCATTAGGAAACCTGAAAGATATAGAGATTGCAATTTGATTGATTGTAATATGTCTGAGTTTGCCTTTAATATGTTTGAATCCCTTGAGTGCAATGAATTGCAATTTGATTGATTGTAATATGTCTGAGTTTGCCTTTAATATGTTT